AAAAGGAACTCTTGCCTAGGGTCTCATATAAACAAAGATGATGACATTTTGTGTTCAGAACTTGCACCATGTCTAAATTTAAGACAATGCAGTATTAGTCAAGGTGCGATGTCTCAAGTTGACGAGAATATAGAGTTTTCTCTCAACTATTGACTGTCAACCACAGTGGGTAGAACCTCTAACAACTGAATAATTGGTGAGTTTGTTAGAGGTTCTCGGCAAATAGTCACAATAAAAAGGTCATTTCAATGTCACTTTGTATATACATATAATTATCAATGAGCAAATAACAATCAACTTTATGTATTTATGCAAATTAACTTCATTTCAGTTCTCTGTATGGTGCAATGCAGCTGATTGCTAAATCTTTAAATTTTCTCGTTTTAGTTACGGTATAAGTCAGTAATCATAACTTGTTATTGTGTGTTTATGATTGTTTATGCTACAGTTGTGGTCAACATTTTATAAACACACTTGGCTATTGTTAGCCCAGCTACTTTCCTATTATCTTGTGGGTCCTTCGGCCCTCTCCAAACCAATCTGGAAACATTGTCGAGATTTTGCTCATACAGTCAGTGGGTGACTGTGATTGGTTGATAAATATAGCATGCAACTAATCTGAATATGTCCCAAACAATGGATGACAGTTATGTTTTTTGGACGTGCAGTATCAACTTATAGTTGCCATAGAGACAGTGCAGTTGACTCTTTATTCGTGGCATTGGAATAAACTAACATGGTTGAAAAGCAAAATAGAAGCAAACGTTTCCAGACTATTTTGAAGAGAGTCAAAGAACCCATGAAATAGTATGAAAGTAATTAGGCTAATACTGTATATCGTTAACTGGCCATATTTTGCATTATAGGCACCTCCATCAGTTTACTATATTCCGGAATTTATCACAAAACAGGAAGAACAATTTTTAATAAACCAGGTATGTATTCATGTTAGCCCTGCGTACAGTGTTTTTAAAGCGAAGAATGATGAACATAGTATGATTTAAATGATATGAATTTCTGAATAGCGATCTTTATGTGTCATTCATTTGCATACAAAAGTAATATGATATACACCAAAATGTCAGCTTTCAGGTCCTGAAATTGGTGTCACGCATCTTTAAATTCAAAAAACGAAGATTAATGACAAATTCTGTAATTTGAATCAATGGTGCATCGTGCGCTATTTTGACAACAAAATTCATGCCTCTAATATGTTTATATTTAAATGTTACAAACGTCAATTTCTGAGTTGCAATACACGGGTCATCAATTTAACAATAAAATATAATAAACCAGTTGGTCTGCGATTTTAGAGAGTCTTGGCCTTAATAACATTTTTAAAAAAATACAAAGGCAAACAAGCACTGAGACTCATGGGTAATTTGTAATACCAAAAGGCTTCTATAGCTAATGAAAATGTGGATTTAAAGCGGGGTAGTCGTCGTGCTGCGCATGTGCCACATTTGTGTTGATAAACATTGATTTTCCCACAATCCAATGCGCTCTTCAAATGGAAACCACAAGTATGAGGTTTGACCTGGGCGCGACTTGCACTGATTACCGCCGGTGACTTCTTCGATGCCTTCCAATAACATGAAAATTACTTAATTAAAGCTTGGAAACGTCTCAGTTCGTACTCGTTGATCTGCGCAACAGTCAAAGGTGCCATCTTTGTTTATATGAGACCCATATATCTCTCGACAACTACCACGCTTTAAATGTAGCACATGAGTCTTCTCATGGGATTGAGTGTCTAAATACAATCACAAATAGATAATTGATATTGATTGTTATATAATCTTAGGTGTATGCTGTTCCCAAACCAAAATGGACACAGCTTTCTCATAGAAGACTTCAAAATTGGGGTAAGAAACCAATAATTTTACTTTAATTTGTTTTTATTGCATTTTACTAAAAAATGTGGCTTAGCTTATTCAATGGTATGCAGTATCTTTATTTGTACTCATCTACCGGTATTACCTTAAAACCTTGGCAATTCTCATAAGACTGGTCATTGTAACAGACATATATACCGGTAGATTGGATTTTCTTAAATGGCTAAGTACCCAAAAAGCTCCAAATTTGACTGTCTAGTCATAAAAGCTGGTCTTTGAGCATTGTTTGACTTTTCCGAACTAGTATTCAACAAAACGTAATATTCATCTTAATCTGGCACATGGTGAACTAATATTCCATTTGCACAATTTTTCGGGGGGGGGGGTTGCTCATCTAAGCGCCCATCCCTATAAAATATGATTTCTGGAGCAGAATACCATGGGTGCTAAGTTGAACGAGTACTGTTTGTTTGACATTACATTTAAATTTGTTGAAATATATCATTCCAATACAGGAAATATGATGTTTACAATGCAACTAATTCATTCATAAGTGTTCTACACACATTTAAAGCAATGTATATGTACGGTATATATAATGTATATTTGGAATAGTCCATCTACAAAATCAATTATGATTGTACATCAAAGTATCTCATTTAGGAAAATGGACGTCTAAGAATGTTGAGTTCTTTGATAATAGGCTAGGACATGTAATAAATAGTTTGTAGGTGTATTGCCACCATATCAATGAATGAATGCCATATATTTTACACATCATTTAGGTGGGATTCCTCATCCTAAGGGAATGGTGTTAGAAAAACTACCACAGGTAAGTAATAATAATTGCCACCAGAGGGCAGTCTATTCATGGCACAGACTGCATAACTTTAGGTGGCTCATAGTGTCACCAGTATCGGAGTTAAGGATGTGCAATATAGTTTCACTTTTGCGCACAACCCCACTATTTCATACAAAGATGAGCATAATGGCAATTTGAAGAAACTTTTATATCTCAAAAATGTTTTATTTTAGGGGGGAATTATTTTCGCTACGTCACTCTTTAATGTTCTATTGCACATGTATTAATGTGGTGCAAACAATTAAACTTGAATACCACATTAATTAAAAAGATTGGTGACCCAATGTTTGTATTTGTAGAAAATATTGCTCTTTTCAGAAAAATGTTTTTTTTTTAAATATATAAAGGGTCATGTTTTATTTTTAGCTCTCGTATGTGCGAGTTTGTTGTGTTTGTCTGTGTAAGTACCCTACTCAACCGCGTTAGCGCCCATGCCCAGGCAAGCACCCACCCCCACTTTTGCGCAATTTTTATATTTGAGGTCACATTCGGCAAAGCGCCCGCCCCTTCAAAATGCAACTAATTTGAAACTTGGTCGGTACAAAACAGCATACTGATTGGTTAAAAACCAACTTGACCCATTAGGTCAAAGGACGCTGCTGCAGGTCAAATCTGCAAATGCATCATGGCGGAAAGTGAGTTTCATCAAGAGTTTGCGTATGATCCAACACCTTCGTCAGTGGAGATAATGATGAGAATTTTGACTTCGACTGTGTTCTAACAGACTCTAATGTTTTTAATTTCGTAATTTCTGGTGGTATGTAATTAATATTGCAATAAAATGTGCTTATTTTTTATGATCATTTCTGTTTCTTCATTGTGAAAATCAATGACGACGCAACTAATTTCGTAATTTGATTTCCCTCAAGGACGTAATCTGTCACATGATGAATCAAAATTTTCATTTGCACTCTTTTTCGAGGGGGGTGCTCGGGTAAGCGCCCACCCCTAAAAAATCGTGATTTTCTGAGTTGAGGCCCCTGGGGGCTAACACGGTCGAGTACGGTAAAATCTTAAAAACCTGGCAGATTTTGATCAAATTCAGTACCATGAGGTAATATGCAGAGATCTTGCATATTAAGTAGCTAATTTGCATAGTAATTATGTCATTTCAGCCCGTGTAAGCAAAATCTTAAGAAGTCTCCAAAAAAATTGATCAAATTTGGTACTTTGGGGTAATCTGCAGACATGATATGCATAGCAAGTAGTTAATTTGCATATTGTCTCATTTTGGCCTGTGTAGACAAAATCTCCTAACCACTAATACTACTGACTGTCGGGAATTTTCATTTTCTATAAAACAACAATGATATATATTCACAAAGACGCTTTGCTGAGTTTAACTTTGATTTCCTCATAGAAGCCTGTGCATTAACTGCGTAATATACACTCTTCTTTTCTTTTTTTTTCTTGCTAAAACTCTCATTGTACCAAAAATGAGAAAATCACAATTTTTTTGTGAGACTGTATTGATCATCCTTAATTTACCGGTATACACTTGGATGTTAAAAAGGGGGTGTCATCACCTGCGCATGCGTCAGATGGCCATAGCGTGTCCTTGTTTACAAACAAGCATCTACCCATGAGTCTTGGCGTTTTTAGTGTGTGTTGTTATCGTCGCTTAGAACTCAATTCTCGCACGTGCGCAGGTGACGACCCTCCCACTTTAATGTATGCACCGGCTTATACCACATCTTGTGTACATTTCAGACATTCAGCACTAGCATGAAATTAACTATGTTTATCACATGTTCCAAGACTGAATCTTCTTTTAATAAATTAGGATATTGAAATTTATGTTTTGATTGGGAGTGTACAGTGTCCGAAAATACTGTATGTATGTATATGTTAAATTTACACTTACTGTACTTGCTCTATTATAAGGAATTATTTTGGCATGTGCCCGGCAATCACATATACCCGGTACCAATCTTTTCATGTGCCAAGTTAGAACTCAGCTTTCTGTCGGAATAAGAATCATGTTATTTAAGGGACATGCTGAATTAGTTTTGACACTTAATTGGCACAGTCCAAGATCTCAAATATAAATACAACTAATTTTAACAGGTTATTTATGTAACTAAGCATATGATCTTTTAATAGACCAAATATGGCACTTCCTAATAGAGTAAAAAATGGTATACAAATGTAACCTTTTTTTTTGGTTTACAGTGGCTAGACACATACTCGCATAAAATTGCATCCCTTGGTGCACTGAATGAAAAGATACCCAACCATGTACTTGTCAACGAGTACACAAGTGGACAAGGCATTATGGTAAGCAGTGAACTCAGTGTATAAACTCTATGATAAACTGCGAATTATATGAACCTAAAATGCACATTTTCTGCCAGCAGATACGTCATTCAATGTATCATGTTTCAAATTTCTATTTTTAGCCACATGAGGATGGTCCATTATTTTATCCTGTAATATCAACTATATCTCTGGGAGGTCATACTTTGTTGGATTTTTATCACCATCCTACGACGCAGTGTGATGAAAATAGCGTAGATGTGAGTATGTATTATTACACCAATGATATTGATGTATCTACGTGTTGCCCCGCCCCCCTCATGATGTGAATAATTTTGGAAGTAGAATAAATGGTCTGGATGGCTATGGTTAGAAACACAGAGTTGTTAAACACTGACAGTATGACATCATTTATTCAGTGATCTCAGTACAGAATATTTTCAGGATTTGTTGTAGACAAAAGAAATCAAAATTTTACAATTATGGTTGTGCAGAATTTTATAGACAGTTCAAATTTGACATTATTTAGAAAAATAATGATGATTTATATCCATTCAGTCTGAGTATACTGTCAATATTCACCGCTAGAGATTTTGGCAATTTAATAATTTAAAAGATATTCATATGAGGACAATAATTCAAGTCGTTTTTCTCTAAAAATAAATTTGTCATCACACATTCAAGCAATGAAATGTTAAAGCGACCATAGCTGTATCAATCTATCAATCTTTTTTTCTATGATTTTTATTTTTACTAAAAGATTTCCTGTGTCATTAGTGGCAATTTGTAACGACCACCACCAAAATGTGGACACCATATACCAACTTTATACATTAAAAAACTGGCAAGTGGAAAAAGATGGCCACAGGGGTTGCATTCAGGTTTCTAGAGGGCGCCATCTATTGAAATCCAGTTTTGTCAAGCAAACTTCAGAGATTATGGTACAAGATGACAAATTTCAAATACATCGCCTTCTTGAGAGGCTAAGCGTCCCTCTGACGGTCCCTGTTCAAATACATCGTCTTCTTGAGAGGCTAAGCGTCCCTCTGACGGTCCCTGTTCAAATACATCGCCTTCTTGAGAGGCTAAGCGTCCCTCTGACGGTCCCTGTTCAAATACATCGTCTTCTTGAGAGGCTAAGCGTCCCTCTGACGGTCCCTGTTCAAATACATCGCCTTCTTGAGAGGCTAAGCGTCCCTCCGACGGTCCCTGTTCAAATACATCGCCTTCTTGAGAGGCTAAGCGTCCCTCTGACGGTCCCTGTTCAAATACATCGCCTTCTTGAGAGGCTAAGCGTCCCTCTGACGGTCCCTGTTCAAATACATCGCCTTCTTGAGAGGCTAAGCGTTCCTCTGACGGTCCCTGTTCAAATACATCGCCTTCTTGAGAGGCTAAGCGTCCCTCCGACGGTCCCTGTTCAAATACATCGCCTTCTTGAGAGGCTAAGCGTCCCTCTGATGGTCCCTGATGATTTTATGTGACATTTCCCATAATAGTGTGAATCGTACCTCAAATTTTGTTTACGGTACTTGTCACATGACCAATTTAAACAAAATGGCGACTACTCAATCGTTAGTTATTCGCATCGCATTTATGTGACATTAGCCCTCGTGTAGGGTCACTTTGCCCATGCAATTGTGTCTAAAACAAGATTTCGGTAAGTTTGACCATCTTTATCTGGTTATATTCACAATCACAGCTTTTGTCGCTTCAATTGATGAAGTGTTAACTATTTCATTGTTGATTGTCTAATATTTGTATGTCAATATATATACATTATTAATAATTTCATTTCAGGAAGCTGCAAAAGTGGCTACACCTGAAGATCGTCTGTTCGGATCATTACTGCTTGAACCACGCAGTCTGCTGATTTCTAAAGATGAAATGTACACCAAGTACCTGCACGGCATCGCTGACCGAACTCACGACACACTCACAGGGAAAGTGTTAAATGTGGATGCCTGCCCTCAAAGGGCGATTGGGGATGTCCTGGAGAGGAAACTGAGGATCTCATTGACTATAAGACATGTTCCCAAAGTGCTGAAAATAAAGTTGAACTTGGGAAGAAGGTGATGTGGTCAGGGCCCATACACAATGAAAGACATAAATATTACTCCATATATTATGGACATAAAGTGCTATGGTTGTCAATGTGTTAATAACGGTAATACTAAGCCCATGCAAGCACTGACACTGTTTCCATATTGTTACTATGGTGATTCATGTTTATTAAAGAGAATAAAATTTAGTTTCAAAATTTGTTTTTGTGTTCTGATGATCTGACAAAAAATATGTTTTACCAACTAAGATGAAATTAAGTTCTCGTTGACTTTGTGAACGCCCATAGAGATTGAGGTACGTTATTCAGCCCCAATGAATTAGGTATTCAAAAATAACCCATTGTGAGATTTCTTCAATTCAGAATTAAATACTTTTATTAACATCTTAAGTTGTTGGATAATCATTGGTGCATTTGCATCACATGACGCAAAAAAGTGATCATTTATTTTAAATCTAACTGAGCACTGGGATGAATCATTTAATTAAAGAAAAAATCCATCCGAGACTGTAAATCAATTATGATTCATTAGCAAAACATGTTTATATGTGTAATATGGACACTTGATGGTCTGAGCGCACTCATTCATACCGCTGGAATATGTGATGTCATCCAAGTACTACAGTATTTGTTAGTAATGCAGGTGCTTATGTAAATTACAAAGGTGTTTCATTGGTTAAAGTAAGTAATATTTTAATGCAGTGTTTGGTTTATGTGCTACTATTGAATATGCACTTCTAAAAGAACAAATATGGCACTTTTTTTTTTCAATAAAATCTTATAAATACAGCATTGTTTTGGGTTGTAAAATACCACGCATTGTATCAGTCTCTTCAGCAAAGTATTGTAGTACTTTGAGTGGTGCCAAAAATGCAGTTCTGAGTCTAGGTTTGTAGCTTTCAAAATTTGATATTATTTTTTTAAACGTAAGAACCACATTTAATAATATGCATAGGGAAAACAGGACAAAATACAAGTTGCATGCTTTTGCTATTCACGCATATATTCTAGGATATCTCTGAGGGTCAACATCCATCTATAGTGATCTACTGTAAATGCATAAATCATTTGCTGGTTTTTAATTTCGCTATTTTACTTGACAAGTACAATTCACTAAATCCATACAAACATGTAAAATAACATTAGAGCTCATTGTTAGCCTGCCAAGTTCTTGAAACTAGAACACAGTGAAATTGCTCAAAACATCAAAACAGTGAAATTAAATCAATTTAGGTGTACCTAGTGACTGATAGCAAGAGAGGTATTCAAGAAAAAGAAATATTGTATGTAGTTGCTTCTGAACGCACAAACTAATCTGTTATCGCCTTTGATTTCTTTGGTTTTAAGACTTATTTTGTTTTTAAAAATACCATAATTCTATAACTAAAGTAAGATGTTTTTGACATTCGCAATTTCAATGTATGATATTCTGTTGCATCATTGGCGTACCAGAACACAAGAATCATAGTATAATGCGTGAATGATGTGCAGGGGCATTGCTTCTTGTACTATATTTTCTATAAATTGTCACAAGACAGTAATGTTTCTAAAAGTGATACGAATATAACTATGTATCTAGAAGACTGGCTCGTATGTGATAAATATTCATTCATACAAAATCTGAAACAGACTTATGGTTTAGTCTCTGTCTGTGCATGTAAATTCGACTCGAAATGGCCGACTGTTTTTTGGCGAATTCTATATTAGACATACATCTTGTAGATGGTTTGAGCAATTCATTTTATACACTGACAGCATATGGCATACATACTTATAATACAATAATTTTGTAATCTCATCAATGATGGCCAAATGCCAACAATTTCAGTTGTTAATGAAACGTATCCAGTAAAGATCCTCGGGCACATGTCTGATTTTCTTCAAACTCTGTGGAAGAATTAACCATTATGGGGAGTTGATGGCATGCCACATTTTGATTTGTAAATTCAACTCAACAAGATGGCAGACTGGTGGACATTTTGCTTTTGACAAATTCTATTCCATACATACCTGTATATCTTGTACATGCTTTAAGCAATTCACTTCAAACAATTGCATCATTGTGATTTCTCTCTTGATTCTACATCTCTGTTTAAATTTTGTCATATAACACATGTTTCTGGACTAGGAGCTAAATTATCCTTAAATATGTATAGTTTTGAGATTGAACATAAATAAAGTACATGTTTGGGTTATTTTATGAGTCACATTTTATAGGAACCTGGTGAGCTCACTAGCATCAACAAAAAGAAAACTTGCAACTAAACTATTGGCAACATTTTAAATCCAAATTGTTTGTTACTATGGTAAAACAGATCAAATTTCAAATCAAAGGTTTTTACATTGGTTTCATCTAATGCTGTTGTTTTGCTTTTAAATATTTTTTTTTCTAGGAGACAGTTTGTTGAATGTCATTGTAGTCTCTCCAGACTTTATTTTGTTATGTGCAAATTGCAAATCCTAACATTTGAATATATCAGTGCGAAACGCAACAACAAATCCGCTGCTGAAAAGATTGAAAAAATGGGGTCATCAAACTACTTTTCGAATGAAAATGGTGGTTTTTGAGCAATCTAATTAATTAACCCTTTTGGCACCATTGTCATTTTTTTGGCACCACCAACAAAATAATTATGTAGTCTGCTCCTCACCATATGAAATGTTGATAAGAATTGATAAATCTTATGGTCAATAACTAAAAGCAATATCTGAAACTATATGGACCAAAATGATGATCAATATTTTAATAGTGACATATCACAAAGTGTGAATTTTGGGCGGGAACAATTTCTGGCAGTCAATAGGTTAAGATGGAGAGGACTGGCCATTTATCAAAACTGTGAAAATGATTATGAAATGATACCAGCACTTAAAATTAAATTTATTTATTTATATCATTTATTTTGTATTAGGTATAAACAAATTCAGTTGATGACTTCAAATTAATAATTATTTAAGTGTGATACATTGTTTTGACCCAATTTAATAGGTTCTATGCCCAAAACTTGACCTTAACTGTCGCCACTTGGTATGGTATATAGTTTAGAGAATTATGAATATATATTAGTAATTATAATTTAGTAATGCAACAACAAAGGAGCTGTCAATTTGTCCACAGTCCCTCTATCTGTGGTTTGTCCATTACCAGTAATGTGAACTAATTAAGTTGTAAATAAGATATTAACGACACTATAATGGGATTAAATAATGACTGTACACTTCTCAAACTGTTGCATTCATCAACAAGTGCTTTGTGCATTTCACAATAACCTAAACAGCCTTTCTTATTTCCAACAGTGGAAAATTTGCGTACGAATCCATAAACTATACGTAATTTGGCCAGGTTTTTCCACTTTTCTATTAAAAAACATTCAAAAAAAAAATGTAATTCCCAACATCAATGCAGTCAACAAAATTTAATAATAAATGTTAAATTTACACTTTCCACTCTTTTGTTACTATATCTATTTTATAGATTTGGGTCGATGGCCTATTTATTGTATTAGAAATAAATTATTTATACTATATTCAATTCCTAATACAATATTTAAAGTACCGATAAATAGAGATCTGCCCATCATTTATATTGCTTTTACAAATACTAGATTAATGAGAAATTGGGGCATACTGGTAGATTAAAAGTCTGTTGTTTTACCACAAACTGACCCCTAGAATAAAATATCAAAACACAGCAGATAAAAAAACAAATCAACAGCAGATAAATACTATGGCACAGTAGTTTATTTACATTTTCTATAAACTCACCAGCAAAAAAAAAAGCCTCTTGCGAAACCATTCTTTGAAAAAGACAGTAAAGCAACAAAATCAAATTCTATTCAAGAAAAGGTTCCTACATATTTATTAATTTCCACTGAACTACTAATACAAACTCTAGATCAACTGTTACTCTTTCACTTGTGATCCCAGTATGTTATATTCAATAAGCTGGAACCATGCATGTATAGTGTTTATTGCCTCTACTGGTTTCTGTCCCATCATTTCTATTGTGTATAGGCCATCACATTGTGACACAGTTTGTTTACATTTTTTGCCAGCCTCCATGCAAATGTTTGATAACAAATAATGCTCACTGATCAACACAAGTTTGTGATCTGCTGTGGTGTGCTTGCCATATACTGCCATATTCACTGGGTTTTAAATTAGCTTATTTCGCTGACTGGAAAATGCGCTAAATTAAAACACAGTGAATATGTAAAATTTCGCATAGAACACATTATCTAAATGACGAAACCGTGAATATGCCTGAAATGGTAAATCAGTGAAATTTAAACCCAGTGAAAATTAGTCATTTTACAGTAGATTGTTTTATTAACAGGACGAGGAAGGAAGAACTCTAAACACAGTTAATCTACATGCAATGTTGGATGTTCAAAGTTCGCTCGGAGGCAATGCAAACACAAGTAATACAGCCCTCCTATAAATTCAGAAGAGGGACCGAATGGTTTTACACAAAACATCTCTGGTGTGCATCTCAGACTGACCTTAATAGAAAATGCTTCACATCGACAATTGTTTTTGTAATATAGCCCATCTTAGGTTGTTGAACAGAAAATTCTGTGCTGAAAATGCAATCTACAGAACTGCTTAGTGATGTTATCAAACAAAATAATGCCAACAATGTAACTTTAAAAGGTGGAGTTTACATGATTACAATTAACTATTCTTTGGGAAAACAGATGAGACGCTGACAGACATTGTTATGACCAGTATACCGACCACATGAGGTGTATTTGGGTGATGCATCTAATGAGAATACCAAAAATTTGCTGCTGTATTGAAGATTTATTATCAGATATATTTTGTTTTTAGCCTGGAGTATGCCATATATATACCAAATATAAGATGTACAGGTCAAACGTTGTTTGCCCAATATTTCTGTAGATTCGGTTCTTATTGAATTTACAGCACCTTAGGGAGTCATCAGGATAAACTGCTTTGATCATTTCATACTACCTAGGCTAGTTATGTTGAGCATGTTCTGAAGCAGGTTTTAAAACCACATTGCACTATAGGATTTACGCATAACTCCTAAACACTGCAATATTTCACAAGTAAGAGACGACATCAAAAGATCGATGTCGGATAAAAAAACTTATTTCCTTTAGTTTGGGGGTGGGGGGTTTTGACCTCAAAAAGTTTCCATCCTACAAAAACGATTTTATTTTTTAATGAAGTCAAAAAAATCTTGGAGTATTTGTACTTCGTTTTTTTTCTATCCAGTCATGGACAGAAATAACCGAAAAGGGAAAAAAACAACAGAAAAATGGTACGGTTCGAGTGTAAATCTGTGCGTCAAATGAGGTGCATTTGTAAAATCTTTTTACACCCACCCGACAACCAACTGCTATGCAATACTACTGTCCGATTATCAATTTGTATTTAATGGTGAATGTAGTCTGACGCCATGACCAATATTTATCAATTAAGTTTCAGTGGGGTGTAGGGGGTTTAGAAAAAAACTAAAGGAATTAAGATTTTATCCAACATCGATCTTTTGACGTCGTCCCTAAGTTTAGCAGATAATGCACCTTTGAGTGAAGACCTTGGGTAGTTTAGCAATGCTTACAAGGCGAAGGAATGACTTCACTCTATGAGTGCAACTGTAACTGAAAATAAAGAAATTACAGTTCGGTTGAATAAAAATATCATTTAAAAAGTATGGCATGAACTTGATCGGGTACTAAGATGAAATGTATCAATTTTTTTCAGTGTAATTCACAATATCACAGCTCACGGCATATTGAATCTAACATACTGGCTTCATCACTGTTATTTGTAATTTGCTTTTCGGAATATTGTAAACTTGGATTTAAATGAACAGTACAATTAGTGTCTTGTTTTTGTTTTGGTTAATGAAATATCACAGTAGGTGAAAGAGCAGCAAAACACAAAATTAAAAGTTTTAAAAAAAATGGTGATGCATTTTATGAATGTCAACAAAAACTGGTAGGAAATATGCAAAACAGTAAGGGTAATAATACCAGTATTATGGTATGTGTCAAAACAAGCACACCTAATCAATGCTAATTCATCGATATTCTATATTTGGTGCATGCAGAACTTTCAAAGCAGTAGAAATTATCATAGACATCGGCTTATATACAAAACACTGATTTGGAAAGTATTTGTAGTGTATGTGGATATGAATATTCATGAGTAGACTAATGAGCATAGTTGCAGTAATCAAACTGGCCCAGAATTATTTGTTGTATGTACCGGTAACAATTTGTGTTGGGGCTTTGTCTATAGTGCCCCTTCCTTCTTCAATCATTTTTATAGACTTTCCTCTAATTAACAGTCTTGTTTCAAACCTCTTACAACAACTTCACTAACCCTGGGTGACAAGTCATGAGAGCCTGCAATTTCTTAATATCGCATGAATGCGAAAGAAAAGAGAATTGATGCAGCACGAAAATGAATGTTACTTTCTCCATGTAGGAGATGAGGTAGTATCAAAGAAATGAAAACATAACAGACATGGTTGGCGCTAATCATCCTTTACGCAAGAGCACAACTACTGTAAAATCTGTATTAGAAGCAGCAGGGTTCTATCACATGGTATAATGCAATGAAGAGGATTCGGCTCATGTCAGAGGATCTACACATACCATAAATGATGAATGTTTAGTTCTCAATTGTTCAAAAAAAATTGGGGGAGGGACTTTCTATTATGGATACCGCTTCTAATACAGGTTTTACAGTACAACAGAAAACACTGCGAGAATAGTAACAGTCACATTCCTGAGAATAACATTGGTAATAACAAAGAAAAAAATAAAGAAAGAGAAAATATCCAGCAAATGATTGTAAGTGAGGCATTTTTATTAAGCCAGTAAGAAGACCAGTCTAGTACTAGTCAGTTTCTACTGATCAATGTTAAAGTTTCACCCCCTTAGCTGAGTGACAGTTAATAGACTTAGCAAATGGCCACAGGGAATCTTGTTGGAAACATAATTCCAGTGTCATTCCATCCACTGTTTAAAATACCATGGTTACATAAGTGGGGGGAACAGAGGAAGTGAAGATTGGAGGAATCAGAACACTATTTGCGGGATACAAACATGTTTTTTGTGTATCTTTTGCTATTGTCTGCCACTTCCATCTAAGGTCCAACAGGGATTACAAACGCTAAATTTGCCAAAATCAAAATTTGTTATTGTTACTGCTCAAAATAGTTAAAGTGGTTTATTTTCGCATAACAGTATATATCATAGTAGAAATATGAGCTATGGCCACATTGTTGTAAAATTAGATTTACATCACTTACACCTCAAAAGCTCACCTACCCCAGTCATACTAACCAGATGAAGAAAATTTTCATTTCACATCCTGCAAGGGCAACGTTGTGACATCCAAAGTGACATATCACAATGATAATATTCAGATGCCAAGGAAACAACTTGCAAATTGTAAGTCCGTGGCTGGTTGACAAGTTTCCAGGAATTTATAACAGCATTTTCATGAATAAATCGTGTCTTGGTACATTACGTATGCAAACAATAATTTCGCCATCTTCCCGCAGAAGCAAGTAAACATGGCAAAACGGGAATGACCATATAATGCATTTACAATAAGCAGCTAATCAGGATTCAAAGCTGAAATTGTTTTTAGTGTAAGTCAGACGCTGCGTCTTTATATACTAGAAATGTACATCTCGAAGTAAATGAATGTCAAGAACAGTGAGAATTCAATTCCCAGTATGGGTACCTTATATTACAGAAATTAAGATACCGTTTCACCTTACATGTGGTGTGATTTAATACTGGTAATTTATAGAGCTGGTCCTATATAAACCGAACAGAAAATACACTCATCAGAATTTCCATTTTAAAAGCAGAAGCGTGTATGCGTGTTTATTTTAATCTTTCAGAACAAGGAAGTCACTCAATTTGTTTCTCGATCCACAGAAACCATGTACCGCTGCAGTATCACATTATTACATGACTAAAACCCACAGTGGGCAACGAAGGAAGCCAAAAATCTTGGTATATACATTTACATCAACAATACTTTGGTGATGGTGTGGGGCAAGGCGCTTCTGAAATATGAAAGCACCTGCCACAAAATTTGCAATAATCATAATCATGCATGTTTTTCAGTATGGAAACTGCTATCCTCTGTGCATTTGTGAGTGGACTAATACTTCTAAATTCTCAAAGAAAATCACTGTCATCAGAAAGTCAACTACTATATTATATACACAAATATATCTGGATTACATTTAGACTGTCAGCCATAATTTAGCTTGACTTCTCCTCACACACCTACCCAGAATTACAAAGCAAAAAAACATACAACAAGAAAAGAAACTTAGACTCAGACTAATGATTAAAAAAAAAAATCACAAAAAAAAATATTTTTTCCTTCAACGTACAAAGTTTGATGTCTTCTATCTTGTGATCACATTTGATTTTGTAAGATACATTGGTGGAGTTGTTACTGTGCATAAACGGACAGTCATACCATCGGGTTATAGAAATCATCTGCGAAGGGACCTATTGAATCTACCAAACATCCTCGGCTGCATTCTGTCAAAAGAACATAAAAGTGTAAAAAATGCTGAAAACAAGTCACTGTAGGTAATGAGCACCTGTAACATAATGAGTAAGGTAGCATTTGGTCAAATGTTATCATTAAAGCGACAATAGCTTTAACTATCATTCTTTATTCACCATTTTTCATTCTTATTACCGGTACTGCCAATTTGTAATGACCATCGCTGAAATGTGGACACTGAAATTATAACATATATTCTATACATACCAACATTGTACATTGAAAACAAGCAGCCTATCGACTGAGATAGCTCCGCTGTTAGCAATGCACATTTAAATTAAAGAACTGAAGACATCATTAGAAAATGAACAATATGTATAGTATCAAAGCAATCGGACTTACAGTTTTTAACAAGAAGTCGAAAATATCACTTTCTACCAAAAATGACAAAAATATTCACCAAAATTAGAGAATTGAAGATATCATCACGAAATGAACAAATCTGAGAAAGATCTACATGTAGTATCTATATATGTAATATCAAAGCAATCAGACTTGCGGTTTTTAACAAGAAGTCGAAAATATCACTTTTTACCAAAAATTACAAAAATATTCACCAAAATTAGAGAATTAAAGATATCATTACAAAATGAACAAATCTGAGAGATGTCCACATGTAGTACCTATATATGTAATATAAAAGTAATCAGACTTGCGGTTTTTAACAAGAAGTCGAAAATATCACTTTTTCACCAAAAATGACAAAAATAATCACCAAAATTAGAGAATTAAAGATATCATTACAAAATGAACAAATCTGAGAGAGGTCCACATGTAGTACCTATATATGTATTATCAAAGCAATTGCACTTGCGGTTTTTAACAAGAAGTCGAAAATATCACTTTTTACCAAAGATGACAAAAATATTCACCAAAATTAGAGAATTGAAGATATCAACATGAAACGAACAAACCTAAGAGAGGTCTACCCACGGTACATATACACCAAGTATCAAAGCATTCAGGCTTGTAGTTTTCAAGAAGTCGAAAAAGTAAAACATTGACACGGACGACGGAGACGACGACAGACAATCACTCATATGATAAGCTCCGCTCGACAAAGCCCACAGCGGAGCTAAAGATGGCCACAGGGTGTCTCGAGATCTACAGTGGGCAGCATTCATTGAAATCCAATTTTGTCAATTGAACCTCAGAGATGATGGTACAAGATGGCAACTTACAGAGCCCTTAGCAAACAGATCTAATACAATTTTATCTGACAGCCTCTCATTGATGATTTTATTTGTCATTTCTAATAATAGTGTGCATCGAGCATCTTAATTTTCTATGGTTCCCACCGATGCCGACTACTCAACTGTTTTCACATCACATTTTATGTGGTATTAGCCTTGTGAAAATGCCCATGTGTTTAAGACAATATTTCAGTGAGATTTGGTCATCTTAATGTGGTTATATTTGAACATAAAATCACAGCTATTGCAGTTTTAAACAACAAAATAACATCTCCCAGTATGTCTTTTTAAAATCAGCATGCACATTATAATCATAGATTGAAAAAAAACAATAACAAGATTCAATCAAATCAGTCAGGGTGCACAAACAAATTATAGACAGAATAGGTGTCTTCCATTTTGAATCGTTATGGCCATTGAATGTTTAGAGAAGCAGGAATGCACAGGTGGATGGACATGGGTACAGATAGACATCAAGTATCAAGGAAGATGCCAAAAAAAGATTTAATTTTTGTTTTCATGTTATTACACTACAACAAGGTATATGTCAATATTTAACATTAATGAATAATGCTTTCAAATACACACATTAATGCAGGCTTGACACTAGGGCCCAGGGGATGAGTAAAATGACTATTCGGACAACTGAACAGGAGCTCACTTGCCTTAACAAACAGTAAATATATTAGCAACGTACATTTCAAACAAGTGAGTTAAAAATTTAAAATCAAGCCCTTTAAAAGTTGATTTGGTTTGACAAAACATCATTCAAAACAGAAAAACAAAACATTTCCTCATTCTGCCATATGTGGCGCACTTCACCAGCATTTTTTCGAAAACTTGCATATGCGATGATGAGATGAACTATTTTCTATTACATGCATGCAATAAAAAAATCAGGAATTATCTCCTGTATTGTAATTAAAACTCAACAGCAATATATGTATTGCATCGTCACTGTAATTTTGAAAACGTGTTCATGATGGGGTGAAGGCAAAGACAAGTAGATAAGTTTATATACAGCTTGACAACTGTGGATATACATGAAATATACAGTGGACTAACAAGCAGTGATTAGACACCAGACAAATATGTCAAGGTTATTTGCAACACATAGTTTGACTTCAATGATTGCCTGAATGGAATTCTAAAATTGCAACAACAGAAAAGGTGTGAAAACAGCTGGATGAGCTAAAATGTTGTAAACCTAGATATTTGAATGTTTTGCAGCAGATCAGAATACACTGACAGGCAAACAGAGAAGCACTTATACTATACATATCAGAGTCTTGCTAGCTCTGAAAATGTTAAAGCCACAAGCAATAAAATAAGTCTCCACTGAGATGTACTGTTTGAAATAACGCCCCTAGAGACTACATATGATACACATGTTTATCTAACACTGATGAATCATATCATTCAATGCCATACAATACCACAGATACTAACCACAGTTTCCTCTCATCACTCAGCTAGACAATTACAAGAAATTAAAAGTGGTTTGGGATACATTTCAAAAATAAAAGATCATATTCACATGTTAATTGCTTAGCAGTGTTCATCGTTCTGCAGACTGGTGCAGAAGCAATAGAAGAAAATCCTGATATATTGCAATCATTCATTTATAGTTGGACATACAATGAACATCGCATCAAAATTTAACCATATTTTGTTTCTTTAAGTTTAATATGTCACTGGTAGCATAGTGGTTGTCGCATCAGACTCATGATCGGTAAACCCAAGTTCAAATTCTACCTTAGGCTGAACATCAAAGGGTCGACCCCTACCCTGGGTGAGTGTGCCACAGACTCAATAGGAAGGCCAATTCCACTGGCTGAGATTCATTCACTAACGAATGCGACTTTGGGGGAACCTTGGTTAAGGTCCGCAGGTGCTTGTGTTCGACCGGGCCTGGTTGACGCTAGAATAGCGCAATAAATTGCCAATTGATAGGGAGATGGCAACACAGCCATGTCATGTAGTCCCAAACAGGAAATGACTTCTGTGACAAAATGCACTATGTGTGAGTTTAATATGTATTTGTAAAACATAAATTTTAACTTGACTGCCAATGGTCACTTTGAGGGAAGATAAATACCCTAATGCAATAAATAAAGTATACAAATGCAAAAATCATAACTGGATGTTTGAAAATCGAACTATACCGTAAATAGAAACAGAATTTGAATAATTGCTTCTTGACTCTCAGGCAAAAAGAATTGTCAGCACTAGAGTGGGTTTACTTTGATGAAGGGTTGTACCCAAAAGGTCTAGCTATTTTTAATATTCCTGTTGATTTTTTACATCTCTGCTGGTCTATTTTATTATTAATAGTTTTTCCTTACAAATCTGTGGTCTAAGTATCGAGAAGTAAGCTCCTTCAACAAGGACTGCAACAGACTCTAATAACTATAGCTCCTTATCGCAAAGCAGTTGACTAGCATGTGTGAAGGGCAGTATGTTAAAGTCATGTGACACAATTAAGGTAGAGATGCAGTTTACCTGACATGTATTTTAATTAGTTAATTAGGAAACCAAGATGACCTCCCTTGTCCACAAAACTATATATTTTCGGAAAGCATATTGTATGAATTTTAAAATTTTGTTAGTATTTTTCTTTTATGGACACTGTAGTTTGAAATATGCACAAAAATGTGCTTTTTTTGGTCAAAAGTGATTTAAAAAAAATTAGCTTCTAAACCATGCTTCTGTTTCCTGTCAAAATTGGTACATCTGTTTACTATGAAGGAAATGCCATCTTGAAAACTGTTTACCAGTTGTCAATTTTGCAGGGCAGCAGCCTAAATTTCACTACTTCAAGTTTATGCATAAATTAACACCCAGGCTAGTTGTCTGTACGATTGTTGTAACACTGTTCAACCAAAAACAATGCCCCGACGGCGTTTTGAAGATGAACACATTATCAATCATTTGTGAAAATTTCAAAACAAAAGGTCAAAGCGTTTAGGAGCTTTTTTTTTTAAAGTTCTGGGATGTGCACTAAAAAGAAGCTAAGATAATTGCTAATTTGCATAACAATTCACTCAGTAAGAAGTTTGCTAATGCTCATAATTAAAATGGCTGTAACAGTTTCAAATTTAAATGTATTATCGTTTTGTTAAAAGTTAAATATAGTGCATAATATGGAGTTCCCGTCATTTCTTTTTTTCACCATGTTTCTTTTT